TATATATATATATAAATTAAGAAAAAAAATCTTTAAAAATATTATAAAAACTATAAAAAGTATTAAAAAATTTGGAGAGAAATAAATTTATAAATCAAACTACATTTGTAATAAAATTTAATGTTTAGACCAAATTCGTAATAAAAATTAAAATTTGGCTCAAATATGTAGAATTGAAAAGATAGGTAACTTGATAGATCTAAGATAGCATATAAACATTTAGAAAATATGAGTTTGTTACCCCTTAAAAAAATATGTTTGCTGGTAACTTATAAACAATATGAAAATTTTCTTTCTAAAATTCAGTAACAACCTTTTTTTAAAATAACAAAAAGTTATTATGATGCACAAAGTGTTTTTTTCTTGTCCTAGATAAGGCTGGTACCGTTGGTATGTTCGACTAGTTTAGAATGGTTGGGTTTATCATCTCTCTCAACACTCGCTACTTGTTTTTGAAAAAAAAATCATCATTTTATTTTCTATATAAACCACTCTCAACCATTTTAAAACCACACTAATATCCTACAACATTCAACTTTTGTACGATGCATGCCTACATATCTTCTTTGTATAACTAGTTTATATTAATTATCGTTTTTATGTTTTAAATCATCTTTTGTAATAGTATGTTTTTTAATGAAATGTTATTTTTATTTTTATTTATTTAAACTTATGTTAATAATTGTTTTAATTTTTAACCTACCAGATGCATTTCACTTTTCCTAATGTCAAATCATGTTAAATATCACACTTGATTGTGACATTTCTCGTTCACAAGTAAGAAAACTTGCATTCTTGGGTGTTTTAAATTTCATGTCTTACGACTCAAAAAACCGTAGTTATTACTATAAAGCTTCTATTGCCATTTTACTCTTGGTAATATACAAACCATCATTGCTCTTCACTTTGTTGTTCACGCTCCTCATCCCTTTGGCCCTTTGACAATTATTACCAAACCCACCGACAAAAAAATAAATAGGTTTGAGTTGAGATTTTTGACTCGCCAACCCTTTTGTTTCATAGGTCAGGTTCGGGTTATGTGTTTGTTTTGAGGGTCAACATGTCAATAAATATTATATTTAAAAAAAATCAAATTTATTTATGAGTTATAACTTGAAATATTGAATATATAACGTGTCCTATTATCAAAAACTCAATCATTGACTGATGACCGCTTATTGGTAGCCAGGTATGAAGATGGATCGTTTATTGGTAGCCAGGTATGAAGAAGGAGATAACAAAATTGTAGCTGAGCATGTGACTTGCTCTCTAGTCAAAGCTCTTGCTCTCCATAGTGGAAATGAGATAAGATTACCATGAATTTTGTCACTAAATTACCAAAGGTTACGATGATTTTGGATGATGAAACTTTTTGGCAACCAAGGAGAATGAAAAATTGAAGAACTTGGCAAAGTTATATGTTAAGTAGGTTGTCATCAAACATGGGGTACTAGAGATGGAGTACAGTTGTCTATTATCTCTGATCTTGATAGTCGTTTCACTTTGAGGTTTTGGCATAAGCTTCAAGAAGAGTTAAGTATGAGCATGCATTTGAACACAAACTTGGAACATTGTCGCTGGCTCCAAGGTTGTGTTGTTCTAATCTTACTCTTTGACACATTGTTTATACTTGTAATCTGTTTCCTTTAGTTCCTTGCTAGTAAGGTGTTTTATATAAAATTTAGTTGTTAAAAAAAGATTTTATTTTTTAGATTGTTTACTTTAATTAATCCTAAAATTCATATAACCATCAAGTACTCTTTTTAGCTCCTCCTTGCTAGGAGGGTGTTTTTTATATAAAACTTAATTGTAGAAAAAAAATTGTTTTTTAGACGTCTTACTTTAGTTAATCCTAAAATTCTTATAAACATCAAGTACTCATTTTAACATAATTTTTTTTTATCATTTCACTATGAATCTAAATTACTATTAGTAGAAATTCCCGTAATAATAATTTTGATTTGCATTTTTCCCGTTATAAGTATACATTTTATATCTAACTTTGTCATCTCATTTGACCAAAGTGTATTTTTTCTTTTTTTGAATATTTGCACGATTTTGAAAAGACTGTTAATAAGTACTAATCTAAAGTTATTAAATAAGGTGGTGCCTATCTTGATTTTTATTGATTTGTTTTTTTA